AAACAATTCGTAAAGGTGAGAGGGGCCAAGAAAGAGAGAGAGAGAGAGGAGGGAGAGAGAGAGAAGCAAATTAAATTAAAAAATTCTCCCTAAAAATTCCATTTGTCACTTTTCGCTGTTATTTCAACTATGAAAACGGCCTCGTTTTGATTAGTGGCCTGAAGAACAATTGTAGCCTTGGATGTCAGCTTCAAAATGCCATTGGAATAGGCTTAATCGGATGTCTGTGGACTAAGATATGGCCCAAATACTGCACCTTGCTCAGGATCCGCGACTGCACCGCTTCAGTTCACTTCTAGGTCCAAAATCAGCTTCTTAACACCAGAATTAGTCTTCGACCTCTCATACAACTTGTGGGCCTATCTCTAAGCTTTTCTACAAATCAAAAATCACAGTGAGATGAGCCTTACAACTCAAGATATGACCCAAAAACCAAAATAATGTCAGAATTTGCCTAATGTTGGAAAAATTAAATAAAGCCCAAATGAAATCCGAACAACATAAAATAGTCCAATTAAAACTAATTAGGCACAAAAAGGGATTAATGAGCTAGGAATGAGAGAAAATAAGTATATAAAAATCCAATTGATCATGATTCCTACAACTACATTTTTCTTTAATTTTGTGTTAAGTTGAACATGAAGTTTGTTTCTACAATATATTCCAATTTCTTTTTCTTTATTTCTGCTATGTTTTGCTAATTTCATTAGGGTTGAGAAATGACAAATTTAATATTTTGTCTATAGTGATCAACTGAACATTGAATATAACTCAAATGTAATTTGTAATCTAATGTAATTAATTTCGAGCTTAATATGTCCTTGTGTCTTAGAATTCAGAGTTGATGAAAAAGAACTTATAACTGAAAAGTTGTAATCTTTATTGAATTTTGATTAAATAGCTCATTATGAATTATCTAGTAATAAGAATCTTTAATGGTGTGGTCATGTTGATTTCGAATCTAGAACTAATTTAGAACTAATCAATCAAGGAATTAATATTGGGTATTGTGAAAAATCTGACCATTAGATTAAATTGTATTCTGAATTATATATATTTTTATGCAATGGAAAAAGCTTAAGGAATTCTGAAATCAATCCACTTCTTAATTAAATTACAACTCAGTTTTCATTTTCTTGTTTAGTTACATTCTACAACTTTGTTTCATTTATAGTTAATTTCTTACACCTAACTTTTTACTCTTAATGTTAATTTCATTTTACAGCACTTATATCTAAATTTTACTTTCTACACAATATTTAAATTTTCTTTTTTACATTCTCACTTTATTTTTCAACCTAACTAGCAACATTTTTGTGGTTTGATAATTAACATTAATTCTAGTGGACGATAAAATTTAATTATTACTATAAATGATTTGGTACACTTGCCAATTTGTTTATCAAGTACTCTATAGAGCCCACTTGATGAAAGCGTTGTTGTATTGGATCACCTAAAATATTAGGCCATTTAACTTATCTTACTCATTGGAGATTTTTTTTTTCTACAACCCCACACTTTATATTTGATTTTGTTTTTCTTTTGATACATTATATCTGATCATTTAATTTCATATATAGTATTCCAAACATTAAATTTCAAAAACAATTTGTAAATCACTATTTTAGAACTTAATTTTCAAAATATATCAAATTCATTTTTAGAAATTAAATTCCAAATCACAAATCACTTCCAAAATTTAATTTTTAAAAATAAAAAAAAGTTTAATTATGTTTTTTATTCCTATAAATATTAGACATTTTATAGTAAGTTTTAATAATATTTATTTTGTATTTAGTATGTGAAAAGTTGAGAAGTTAGAAATTAGTCTCTACCGTCAACTTTCTAGTTAAATATTGATATTGCTCATAGAGAGTCAGCTCAACACTTACATGTGGCATACCACGTCATTTAATTTTATAATATTTTATTATTTAAAATTAATATTTACAAATAAGTCTCTAAATACATTTTTATATTTATAAAAAAGTCTTATACCCTTCTCCTTCCCATTCCTCTTTCCCATAACTTCTCTCCCTCCTCCAACCCTCCTCTTCCCCTTCCTATCTTTCATGCTTCACACCCTAACCCTAACCGTTTCCTCTCCTCTTCCCCCACCTCAACCCCTCTTCTTGCCCACACTCAACTCCACCACGTTCTTCATTCTCCCTTTCTCACCCCACCTCACACACATAAACCACCCAAATGCAACGCATCTTGTTGGATTTAAGATTGAAGGTGGCCTTTACTTTGTCTTACAATTTACTTCATATGGAAGCCTTGCTTCTTTGCTTTTTGGTGTGGTGTATGTCACAACCCGTTTTTATAAGGAATCAAAAATATTATTTCTTCACCATTTACTTATTTGAGATAAATAAATAATAAATAATATAAGTATAAAATTTGTTTTTCATTCAAAATAAACAAAGTTTTTTACACCAAATATTTGATAAAATAATATAATATTACATTTAATTCATAATACTCAAATATACAAAATTTTACTACAGCTCCCTTTATATAAGATCTTAAAATATAAGGAAAAGGACTTTAATGTAAAATTACTCAATTCCAACCATCTAACACTTCTTCGCTGGCTCTTCAGCCTGTGAAGTAGATGCAACACCTGCTACATCTGCTCACGTATCACCGTACGATCATCACAGTACACACGCACGCAATAGCATAGGCAGAAATGCAAGGGTGAGCTTACAAAAATAAAATAAAATCATATATAGAGAGCAAAATATTACTCACAACAACAGTCTCATGCATTCTCAATCCATCTAATGCACAACATGAAAATGATTTCAAGTGATTTCACAGTCTAAGTAATCCAGAAAGAACCAAACTGGTTCGAGAGCGACCCATTCCGCTATCTAGATCCAGACAACACAACACAGCTTAGCATGTTCTATCGTTACACGTCTATCTACCTAAATGTGTAACTCGACTCTATAATGATGCAATATATATATATCTCAGCATGATGCAGCATAGACAAAATCATATTCTCAACAATTTGACTAAAACAATTCATAATATTTCAGTCAAATCTCATCTTTTAAATCAATTAACAGCAGTTACAACATAAAAAATAGCTTTTATCCAGAAATCATTCCAAACATCATTTAATAGTTAAAGTAAAATTTTCTTACCTTAGAATAACGATGTACACTAGATCTACCGAATATTACTTATTTTAAAGAAAGAAAATTTTAACTTTACAACAAAGTTTCTCCTAAGATATCATCAACTATCTATAAGAAAGAGAAGAACAAGAGAAATGAACGGTAAATCTAACTTTAAATTTATAGAAACGTACTTCAAATCCTTCAGAATAGATGTAGAATCTGAGATCTAGCGAGAAATCTAAATTTTGGAAGGTTTAATATGAGAGAAAATGATGATATATAGCCTTGGGTCTCTTTAGAATCTTTGAGAAGTGTGAAGAAGTGAAAATTTTATGCAAGGACCCGTATTTATAAACAAAATTTTGAAGAAAAAAAAAATTTGACACTATTCACGCTAGAGTTACTGTTTATACCGCCTTACTGTTCATGCCAAAATTACTGTTCACTTTTTTTAAAAATAATTTTAAACTTTATTTAAATCTATTTCAATATCAAATAATCCTTCAATTAATATTTAATAAGTACAAAATATTATAAATTACTCAATAATAAATTACAGGTCTAACAATATACACCCATCTCTTACTTCTCTATATGCATGTTTTCTCTTATTGCACTTATTATATTTTGCATGCTAACTTATTTAAGTTTTGAATGCTTAGATAGGAAGAAAAGGTTAAGGTAGTTACAAGAGTTCAAGACGTATCATTCATCAAGATATCAAGGCTTTCAACATATTATTAAATAAAAATTATGAAGTTGAACATATTATTAAATGAAAATTATGAAGTTGAAGCACTGTGGTAGCAGCTTATTAAAGTTTATGCAAATTATTAAAAACCAATTAGGATTAGAAAATTTGATATATGTGAAGGTACAACAAGGGGGAGGGGTGAAATTGGGTTAAGTATGGAGAAATGAGGCACCAAAAAAGATTTAGGTTCAGGAAAATATTTTACAAATATTAAAAATATATTCAGACTTATTTATAAATATCAATTTTAAATTATAAAATATTATAAAATTAAATGATATAATATATCACATAAAAATATTAAACCAACTTTCTATCAGCCAGCCTAACATTTGATAAAAAAAATTGACAATAAAAATTAAATCTTAACTTCTTAACTTTTAAAAAAACTTTCATCATATTTAGTGCCCTAAGTATTTCTCTTAACTTTTAAATGCTTACTAAAATACTTATAAACTGAAAAAAAATTATGTTTTTAAATTAATGATTATACTTTATTTAATATTTTAATAATTAAATGCTATCAACATCTTTTTCAACTAAACTACTAATTTTACTATCTATTAACGTAAAATTAACAGCATTGTTTTACATGAAAAAAAAAAAGCATCAAATTCTGTCAATTATAAAAAAATATAATAGATTTTATAAAAAGAAAATTCACAAAATTTAAAAGACTACATACTACCTCTTCCAATAAACTTATATCTATTATAATTTTATATCATTCTTTTAAAAATATTCTACAATGATTGATGTATAATAAAAATATAGATATTAATATTTTATTCATTCAATTAAAGGTATCATAATATATATATATATATATATATATATATATACACACATTTAAAACTGAGTTTTAACAACCAATTATAGTTAAATTTTATAAAAATAAAAATATTTATTACACATTTAATGAAGATACTTAAAGATACTTAAAACTCAATTTCAAGAAACAAAATTAACAAAACCTATAAAATAAAAAATCTTTCTGTTAGTCAAGAAATAAGTTTATATTTTTTTTTTACATTTTAATCCCGTCATTTATGAACTAATCAAAAATCATTTACTGATGTAAAGTTTAATTTAATTTTATTTTTGTAAAGACCAAACTAAAAAATGTGAAATAAGGAGTAAATTTATAATTTAATCTATTATTCACACTGATTAACTAATTAAGTACCTGTCAGGCGTGGAAGTCTCGAATCGTTGTTTACGTTTGGATTGCTCATGGCCTTGCGCATTCATAATTATAGTAGAACTTTATGCATATAATTTGCGCGAGATCACTTAGTATTGTGAGATCCATCGCATACTATCTTTTTTATCAACAAAAATGATCCCTTCTGCATGAGCGCAATGAAATACACGTTACAGAAAACATTGTTTCTCATTAAACTCGATATAAGGATTGACCATTTCCCTTCTCTCGAGTATCTGAATTTTCTCTCATCAAACTCAATGACAACACCGATTCCCTTCCCACCAGCATCTGTAGCAAGAAAAATACAAACTAAAATTCAAGCCTAATCCTTCTGCCTCCATTTTTTCATCAAAGCCCTTCACTAGAGTTCAACAACTTCTGCACACCGGCGTTTGAAACATTTTGCCAATAGAAAGTAGTGTCAACAGCCGCATAGTCCTTCATATAGCTAAAGTACTGTCCATACTTTTTCTAGATGAGAGGAGGGGCGGTGGGGGAGAATAGAAGAAGCAACCATATGAAATGGTGAAAATTTTAGGCTGACGAGATGTATGGAGGCTGGCAAATCTTTTACATAAGAGCTGGTACAATATTATGCAGCTCCCCCTTAGATTAACACTTCTAACTGGACAAAATCAGGAAGCAATCAAGAAAAATGACAAAAAGTCAACCAACTATACCCTGTATACACTCACTAATCCAAAAAACTTATGTACTGATACAGTTCAGTGATGATGATCAATGATCTCAACTTGAAGAACCTCCATATAAAAACGGAAGTAGTAAAAAGCTCAAGGCGCTGTGGTTGGCAGATACAAGGTGTTGAGAGCAATGTTACTCCATTGACAGAAAGAATTACATACCACATAACTAACTTAAAGTCTGCAGACACCACCTGAATTGCTGATTCATTAGTCCTATACATAGTAGCCTTTAGCCATCTTTGCCATGTTTACAAGCCCATAGATATGTAATTATGCCGGACTCATTCCATTCATGACTCATCAATAGTGGTTTCCTAATTATAAATCTTTACTGGCTTCTCAAATGTGTGGCGATTCTGAAAATAAAAGCCATGTAATTTTGAATGATGTAAACAAAACAAAGTTTTTTACGCTCAACTGAATTGTACTTCGACAAATCTTTGATCTAGTCAGAAAATTCACTGACCTGGTTGACAGCATATGATCTTTTAGGAGCATTGTCAGTATGCTCCAATCCAAGATACTGCTCCCAAGCACCATAAACATCTCTTCTCTATCATAAGAAACCAAAACAAGTACAATGCAAAAACAAAATCAAACAAATGAAATAGTGATGAATATCCAAGAAAAAAGATTCAAGTTTCAATAAATGCACCTGAAAACGACCAGATACAATGTCAGAATCCTGAAGGTACTCAGGACGCCCTAGTGATAGAAAAGCAAACTTCCACTGGCCAAACAAGAAATACAATAAACACGGATAGGTTAAGTGAAATCAGACATACTAACCTACTTGTTCTTAAGGAAACCACCAAGCATACAAAGTAACTCAAAGCCAGACATAAAAAATATTAACACAGGTAAATGAGAAAATACCTTGCTAAACTCATCGTCAGGAACTTGAAGTTTCTTTTGTATTCTCGCTTTAATTTCAGATAGAGTTTCACCTTCATGTATAACCAGAAAAAATGGCTCTCCAAAATTTTGAATTTGCTGTGAATTTTACAGGAAAAACAAAAATACAATACTTTTGTCATACAATTAATGTCAGCATGAAATATCAAAGAGATCAAAATGCTTTAAATTTTACAATACAAAATGAATCAATTAAACTATTTACCATTTGGTTTTGAGCTGTGTCTTTATTGAAATGGTACACATGAATTAGACGATCATGAGGACCAAGATTTTTCTCTTCTTCTGGAATCTGAAAGATTTGAATATAACCATGAAAGGGTTTTGAGAGATTGAACTACTAAAAATAGTATCAAATTATATATTTAGAAGAAAAAGGCAGGCAGTGATAGCCTTTGATCAAATCAAAGCAGGAATACTTCAGTACACACTAAATAGTATCTCCCTCATTTCTAGCCCCACGCACAGAAAGAGATTCCTACCTCCTCTGCTCGTAATGTCCAGTATTGATCATTAATATTTTCAATCTTTTCATTGGGAGGGAAGACCTGCACAGGCACAGGGCAGAAAGTGATAAACATATTTCAATGAGAAAATGGTGTTTTGTATGATAGTCAATAGCACAAGCACCAATAATAATTGAAAACTGAATTTAGTGAATTTAATGACAATTCCCAGAATTTTTCCCCCACCAATAATAAAATATAGTAAAACAATAAATGACATCAATGCATGTAACTTCATACCTTGTATATTTTGTGATAGAAGACTTCAAGCAACCGAAGCTCAGCATCAGGATGAGATAACTCCACCTGATCAAGAATAGTAAAAAGTAAGCATGATATATAGAATTATAATAATATACTTTCATGTCAAAAATTAATAATGGAGGAGAAGTTGGCAATTCTATACAGAAAAATTGGTATTATCCCAACATTGCAGTCACAACATCTAAAAACAGGTAAATATGGCTGAGTTAAGTGGCACTGCTTTTGTCCCTTTTGACATCAGATGAACCCCTTATGACAATTGTGTGCAGTTGTGAATTGACCATAGTATTATTGTGTATGTAGGCAATTTAATGAATAAATGCTTAACCTTTGTTTTAAGATCATCAAGGACATCTCCAACAGTGCTCTGCTTTGGAAGTCTGATAGTATGAATAACCACCTGATCAAACAAATTATGAAACAGAGAAAAGGGTTATGAGAAAAAACTAGATAAATATGGAAGAGAATCTGGTCATTATACTCACTTCATCCTTAGTGGCATGATGAAATGCAACTTTCAGAGTTTTCAAACCTTGTAATTCTGGCAGAGGGATGTCAAGGACTTCATAGTATAATATATCTGAGGTCTGACAATGAAGAAAGGAATAAGATCTATCGTGTTTTAAGAAGAAAAAGAAAATATTAAGATGAATTTAACAATAACTACCTGATTGTAATGAATTAACATATCTGACAAATGATCCACCCCTCGATATTTAATAGGCTGAGGTTTTGGTTGTTGTGAGTAGCAGTTGTGTGGGGTGAGGCGTATTTTGGACGGATCATCCAAACCAAGTTGCTGAGCTACTTTCTCCACCACATCATCATATGTATAAAGCTTTGACCTAGAGTTCAATATATGGAAAAGTATAAGACTAAGGACAGAATGCTAAGCATTATTATATATGAATAGTTACATCTGCTCTTTATTAGAAAAGCTAAATAAGTATCCAAGAGGCTTTACATCTCCAAGAAAAAGTCATCTTCCTTAGGCCTATCCAGAGATCGAAAGTGAACCACCTAAGATCACAAACAAAAGATGAGCAATTTTAGCTCTTATTTAATATGAAAATGAAATTTGCATGATAAATTACACATACAGATATGCACAGGCATGGGCACGCAATTTAAGAAAGTAAAAGAATTTAGCTATAAACTGAATGAATGAATAAAAAATTTGGGAAGCTTTCTGTCCACATTACCAAAAACTAAACAAATTTGCAGTAAATAAACCCAAATATGGAAGTACCTGGCGATTATGCACATATTCTAAATACGATGGCACATCTGGGTAGCGGACATTTTCCTCACTATCCATAGAGGAAGCCTTCTGAAAGCATATGATATCTCCATCCTCCAGCTGCAAATATACAGACAGAAGATACAGTAACTCAATAGGGGCATTTAGTTTGCAGATTGTTTTTCAATAGTGGGAAATTTTTTATGCAATGGTGGATGCCATGTTTGGCAAAACATTACACACACACACACACACACAAAAAGCCTCCCAATCAAAACTGATTATCAGGAATATTTCATATACATTATAATGATTTCATTCCCAAGGAGGGAGGTGGGTTTGTTTTACACTCATGGCAGGGGAATATTTCTGCAACACAAGTTGCCCAAAAATACTTAACCAGGTCATCAACCTACCACAATCATACCATTGCCAGAAGTAGCAATTTTGTGCAGTCTCGAGCACAACCAATGTTATCAATGGTGGATGGCGGGTCATAGCGGAAACCCAAAAAACTGCCATAAAATTATGGCGGCTATAATAAATATATAAAAAAATATTATATATAGGTAATAAGAAATTATAAGAAAAAAAAATTAACTCAAAACACAAGTAGCTTCACCCATAACTTAATACAAAATAAACATTTTTAAATTTTTTGTTATGTTATCTCTTTTTTACTTATCTTTTCTTCTGCTATTCTGTTTAGGGTTCCAATCAAAATGTTTACTTTTCTTTTCTGTCCCACAGTTTTTAGGATTTTATAAGAGTAAAAAGATTTTTTCCTTTTAAAAAAATTTATCTTTCCCTTTTTGCCCTATGTTTTAAGTTTTTTTAAGGGTAAAATAGTGTTATCACACTACTTCCCTGACCCTTTTTTCTTTCTCCACTTCTGTTCGAGCTATCTTCTCCAATATCCATCTCCCTCTCTCTTTTAGTGGGCCATGTCTGTCTTTGGTTTGGGGTGGCTCCCTTCCCTCATTTGGAGGACTAATTGCTGGAAATAGAAGTTGAAGTCGCCAGAAAAAGGAGGTTGAAGTCGACGTAGATGGAGAACAAAACAGTGGTATCCAGCAGAACAAATAATAGATCAAAGAAGAAAGAGATCTGAGATGAGTGTAGAACGACATCGGAGAAGACAGAGATCGGAGAAGGTGAGTGCAGAACAACGTCGAAGACGAGCAGAGATGAGAAAGATCAGAGAGAGATATGAGATGAGGGGGAATTGTTTCAGTGTGAAAAGGGACTTACCTTAGGTTTTCCTGTACAGGTCAGCCTCTAGTCTGGGTCGGGTTTGGGCCCAAACCACACAAACCGCCATTTTTCAAGGTTTTCCGCCATGGCCACCGTTACGTGCATGGTAGTAACGGCGGCCATGGCGCCACCATGCAAAAACGCCATAAAACAGAAGCAGTGTAACAGCGGGGTTAGAAACCGCCACTGCAATCCACCATGGCGCCGCCATTTAGCAACAATGAGCACAACTCGGAAACTCTATGCAACTACCATCAATTAACAGTGTCTGGCAATTTCTGTCCCCACCACTAATCACTGAAATCCACCACTGTTCACCACTACTGCATATTTTTAAAAGCCTTCTTGCTACTGCCATAACCCACAACACTATCCACCATAACCTTGATGGCTTTTTCGGGTTCTTCCATTAACTGTGGCATCTACCGTCAACATCACTCACTAAAATTCTACTGCCCTCTGCATTGTCCATTGACAATAGCCAGTTACTGATCACTGGAATCCAGCCTACTCCTGGCCACTAATGGCAGTGAGTCAGTCCCCTGAATGATTGGGTCAATCAAACAGTGTAATAGTGTTATCAAATGGTCAGAAATGGATGTGCCATGGTGTCTAATGGTGGCAGTTTTTTCCCAAAACGCCACAAGCATGGCAGTGTTAATGGGTTTTGGATGGCAGTGCCATGGCGGCCGTTACGCACATGGAGGCCATGGTAGAAATGGTTAAAGGAAATTAAAGGAAAGAAAGCAACAAAAATTGTATTAATGCCTTCATTTTGAAATTATGTAATTTAAATTCTCAAAATCATGATTCTTGTATGGATGTTTCATTTGGCTGATGATAAAAGAATACCAGTCATGAGATACATTCATGAAGCAATGGATAAGGCGAAAGAAGTTATTATTAAGTCTTTAAAAAGTACAACCACAAAGTCTTATCCCACTAGGTGAGGTTAGCTACATGGATCACATGCCATTGAACTCGGTCAAAAACCAAAAATTTTTGAAAGTTTTATTAATCAAGTCTCATTTAATAACTTCATCTAAGGTTCTTTTAAGTCTCTCGACTCTTATTTACTGGACTGAGTCATACAATCAACTATCTTCACTAATGCTTCCAAAAGTCTTCTCTGGACGTGACCAAACCACATTAGATGATTTTGTCATATTTTTCATTATAGGTATTACTCCAATATTTCCTGTGTATAATCATTTTTTATTTCATCCTTTCCTGTATGACCACTCATCTATCTTAACATTCTTATTTTTGCCACTATCACTTTCTCCTTGTGTTGTTCCTTTAAAGTTCAGCACTCAATACTAAATATATAAGATAGCTGGCCATATTGCAGTACGGTAAAACTTTCTTTTAACTTGATAGATATTTTATAATCACAAATGACGCTTAATGTCTCTCTCTACCTTAACCATCTAGATTGTATTTTATGAGTAACATTTTTATTAATTTTTCTATCATTCTATATAATCGATCTCAAGTACCTGAATTTGGAAATGTGTAGTGTAATATCATCTCGAACTTTAACTTCCAACACATGATTTTCATCTTGTTTTTTTGCTAAACTTACAATGCATATACTCTTGTTTTATTTCTACTCAAGCAAAAACCTTAGATCCTAAAATCTCCTTCCATAACTCAAGTTTAGCATTAACGTCTTCTTTTGTTTTTTCAACTAACACTATATCATCCGCAAAGAACATATACTTAGGGATAATTTCTTGTTTGTCATTTATAAGCACATTTAAAACTAGATTAAACAAGAGCACAAAGCAAAACCTTGATGTAAACATATTCCTGTTGGGAACTCCTTAAAGACACCTCCAAAAGTTATCACAAAGGTAGTTACCCCTATCATACATGTCTTGTATAGCTCGAATATATGTTACATAGACCCCTTTATTTTCTAAAATCCTTTGAAAATAATAAAAGAAAACACAAAAATGTGTTTGCGACCATTGATAATAGATAAACTTGCCAACTTAATTGTCCCTTACACACAGCTGGTAACATTTTAAACTCAAACTTCTTTTATGACAACCCGCAAATATAGTTTGATTTGGAAGTTACGAATGGGTTATATGATTGAATCAAAAGGTTGGTACCAAGTTGGGATGTGCAACAAAACATATTATTTGAACTATCAATTTATAAGAGTGGTTGCAGTCTCTTTGGATCCAACTTTGCAAAATCACAGTAAAAAACATTGCTCCTCATAATTTACTACAAACTTGCATTTTAATTTCAAGTTAATTTACAGTAAATACCTTCCAATTTATAATTTATCTTTGGTTTTATAACTCAATGGTGGAAAATGTATGGCCACAACTCCAAATTTGCAACTAGTTATCAAAACTTTAAGCTTGACATGTAGTGCATACAAATGTGAAAGCAATTGTAGTGTTTTTGAGCAAGTAATTTCATAATCTCATTTCTCTGTCATGTTGATAGTTATGCCAAGTACTTTCTCTTTAATTACACTTACAGTGCAAATTCATTCAAAGAAGAAATTTCATAACTTGGTTTATGTGAAATCTAACCAACAACTCAAACATTGTTGCAATCTTCAAAATGTAATTCATCCAATGACATTGATGAGTGTAATGAGTGGTTAGTTAGAGAGATGGATGATGTTGCTTATGATGAGGATGTTAAAAATGATTTAGTTTTTTATGTTGGTTTTTTATGATGACGACATTTTAAATTGGACAACTACTCATCCAGCTTTCGGTGCTGGAGAGCCTAGAACAAATATTAGGCACCATTCTATAAAAAGAAAGAATTCATCAAGTGGTATTATTATTAAAGCTGCAAAATTTTCCAAAATAAAGTCATGTTCAACAACAAAAGAAAAAATGAAAATGGTGATTGAAAATGATGATGATGAAGAACAAGAAGATAAAGAGATATCGGAGGAAACAAAAGATGAATATGAAATTAATCTTTAAGAATCCAAGGGAGAAGAGGGGAGATATGTCTTAGTAGATGAAAAAGAAGATATTTGATTACTTAATCATTATGTTGCCATTGAAGAGGACTAGAGAATTAATCTTTGTTTTTAGCACTTTGTTTTGTTGACTTGACAATTGATGGATGAATTTTTATTTTATAATGAATTATGCTTTGAATTGAGACTTATGCTACAAAAATTGTATTGATTTATTTACTTCATTTCCTATGACCTACAGCATTTTTTTATATATTTTATTATGTCCATAATTCTGCCATAACCTGCCATGGGATCCGCTATAACTTTATGGCAGCTTTTTGGCTGTCCGCCATGACCTACTATCCGCCATTGATAACATTGCGGTGTAATCATCACTACCAGTAATACCATTTCTAAGATTACCAGGAATATTTTCTTTCAAAACCTGCATCAAAAACCCAGTTTGTGCATCAACTATTGATGTCATGTAACTCACCTGACTTGTTCGGAATGTTACTTTCTTGTCAATAGGTTCACACATGACATTTGGTTCAAACTTAATTTCCTGCAAAAGAAAAAAAACATTTGATTACTATCTCGACAACAACTCACAAGAATAAAAATCTCACTTAAGATCAGAAAAAGATGCCATTACAGCTAAAGGTCCTCCCCTTTTTTGGTAGGACTTATGCAGGAACCAATTAATTTTCTATAGAACACAGAGCACTAAATCTGTTATCATGCACTAATGCCATCACCATTCACCAGTAAATTTAGTGGCTAAAGCACTGAAATAGAACACGATTGAAAATACATCACTGAATCTACACCCACAGGTTAAACACACAAGGAGCTAATTAACACCAGTCAAATGCAAACTGGTTGTAAAGTTACACATAAATATAATCTCTTGCAAGATTTACAGCTAAAGTAGTAAATGAAACGTAAAAGTCTCAAGAAGTAATATTTAGCAAAATGGGAAGAAAGAAAGGAAACAAACAGATAGAAACAGTAATATAGGTAGTACAAAATCCCAAATCCAGAATTTCACAGTCAAAGTTCAAGTTGTTTGACTCCTTATGTAACCTAAGTAACAGTAGCACTCATTTGATTACTATCTACACAACAAATTAAGTTCTTTCGCTTATAAAGAATTGACTAGCTTAACTTGTCCAACTCAAACGACCAGCAACACCCCAAAAAAACACCTAGTTATATAAAAGCAATCTTCCCATTTCAAATATACAGCAATGACCTGCTGCTTTAAATTTTCATGAAGTTAGAACTGAATTAATGGACAATAAAACCAACCTCATAAAGGGCAATATCTTCTTCAGGATCATAACCAGCCATTTCATTTAACTTTGTTAAGATTTCCAATGGTTTGCCAGTACACTTCACAAAGAGCCTTCCAACATATCTGCCATTGTAGGGAAATATATCTTAAGTCAACCTAGGTCTCCCCAAAATATGTTAAAATCAAGAAATTACTTAGTACCGCAGCTCCTCTTTTTCAGGATCATATAGCTTGAAGAAAAGTAATATATCATCCTTCGTCTTGTCAGGTGGGGCGATGGGATTTAAATCCTAAATAACAATGCAGATTTTCAACAAAAGTGTGTTTGAAGTGAACATTAAAGTCTCGTGCTATTAAATTAGTATTCAACTTTCATAATACAAATGTTACCATCCCCAGCTCCACTTCCAAAAACAACTTCAATTCTGCGTTGTGACCCTTGTTTGAGACTTCTCTTAAGTGTCCGACCTGCAATACAGTGAAGTAGATTAGGAAAAACTTCAAATCAGATATGTCATTTCATGTAATTAAGCACCAAAACAGACAATAAACATAAGGGTGTGCATGGATGGGTTAAATATAAAACTAATCCAAATCTAATTAGAAACTGATTATGTAAACAGGATTTGAAATCGAAATTAATTTTCCTTTTTAACTAGATTACGTCTAGTTTCAAAACTGGTTTCCTGACAAAAAAAAAAGGGGGGGACCCCACTGTCAACTTACGTTCACGGGCCTTCAACTATCCACCAGTTTTACATCAGGTTATTTCTATAATCCAGTTTCAAAACTGAAAAGGCCAATGGAACTGGTTGATTTATAATCCTGTTTCTTTTATTTGGATCTGGATTTAGCTTTGGACTGTGTTTGTAAGATCTAGGTTATGTTGCACAGTAATCCCAGAACAAGGAATACAAACCACAGGCCCAACAAAACAATTAATACAGATAATACAGGTTGCTATTTTTTTTTTTCATTTTCTTGAGTTTAATAAAAGATGGGGAAAAGTTAAAACAAAGAAGCCAACTGCAAAGAATTAACCAAATTGCAAACACAATGAATGAAATGTAAACATATGTCCTTAAAAATTGCGTAATTAACAGGCTGACAAGAGATGAAACAAAGCTAGTACAAAAATGCATAACCATGTGCTAGAAGATTATAATTATACAGATCATCTCTCTAATGAAATAAGAAAACAAACAGTCATAGTAGGAAAAGGAGAAGAAAGGAAGAGGAACAAAGGAGAAAATAATCAGGAAAATCTTCAAGAAAATGAGAATTTACAGATTGTGCTTCCTCAATGTGTGTCAACGGTCTATTAGGACGATAGGTATGGTTTTGCCGCTTTGCCCACAGCCAAAACCGCTGATATTGAACTGGTATACCAAACTCTTTCGCAACCTCTTCCTGTATATTACAGAATACAGAAGCAGGCATAAAAATTAAATTACAAAATAAAGCATTTAAACAAATGTTCTACAATAAAAAAACATTTTAAATTATTACTACTACAAAAGAGGTCATATTACATTGATTCATGTTATCCACATAATTATATTCCAATTTCCAAATAAAACTTAAAAAGTTCCATATTCTAGTATTTGGTGGAATTTTGCTTGGACCTTTTTGGGCTTCTCTTCTAATTAAAAGGAGAAGCTAGGTCGAACAAATTATAGATAAGTTCTAAAATAATAGGAGCTATTTTTTAATTAAAAGAACTTAAAAACAGAGCTTTTATAGAAGGTCATCAGAAGAGATTCTTCACGAAAAGATCTTTTATGGGAGTACTGTTCTCCCTATCGTTAAAAAGCAACTTTTAAACTAAAAGTTTCATTAAACTACATAAGAACTTCAGCTTTACTTCTGCAGGTATTATTCATAACTTAATCTTTCAAGAAGTTTTTAAGATTAGAAAGTACAAAACCAAGGTCAAATGCTAACATAGTCTACAAATAAAAAGTTCTTTTGATTGATGCAACATTAAAAACAATTTGACACAGGAACAATTTGATTAATTTGGCAATTACTAGACTTGTATATAATATTTGACAATATATTATGAAAAACTTGAAATTCATTGGAAAGAGTTACAGTATTCCCAAAACAAAATTTTACAACATTTTTCTTTCTGTTGAAATCCTACATTAACTACAGATATGACCAAATAAGAGCTTCTAAAGGTTAAAGTAATCCTCAGCTTACGAGCTAGCTTTCGAGGTTGAGTTAGCTTAAACGTAAATTCAACACTTTCTATCTCTCTTCCTCACACCACCCATCTTATCACTCCTTTTTTCCCTCCTGTACTAAACAAAAAAACTGAACAACTTTTTTGTCCAAATAACACTTTTTAATCAAAAATGAACAAAGCAGGACTGTGAGTTGATTCAAAATAGAAATTACAATGATTTTTAGCAAGATTTACAACAAATTTATAGAGCTCACACCACTCTTCCCCATTAAATGTTAAACAACTGGCTGTAAACCTGTACCCTTCTATTTTTGAGTAGTTCTTCTGGTTTGGTGTTGGTTATAAGAACCTTGGGAGAACCACACCACAAAAGCAAGCCATTACTATAGTTGGAGAGCCTAAGGCCTTATAAACCCCAAATTGGAGTCCCATACTTCCGCTATGGGACTCAAGTTCCATACCTTGCAATTAGATCCTAGCATCTCACCATGCTTCACAGCCTTGGCACTCACACAGGCAGCTGTGCACATGCCCTATCCTCTTTATATAGTTTTGGGTTAACACTACAATGGTGGTGTCACAACCCATGCTGCTAGTTTGGCAGCTGGGAGACATGGTAAAATGCTCTGAGATACCAATTGATAATAACCTTGGGAGCACTACGATTTTACAATTTTGGTCAGCCAAACAATGCAGATTGTAGCAAAAATTGGAGCAGAGTATAATCTCATTGAAATTGCAATTTGGATCATAAAATCGGTGAAATCGCAAAGCAAAATGCAGGATGAATCTGGGATCTCGGCCCTAATTCTTTATAACCCAAGCCTAACCCAACTTGTATTTAGGCGCAAACAAAGTCCGGTGTCCTAAATCCTTCTTTTCTTCTTCATCGAACCCTAGACCTCCTCAAAGCGACTTGGTGTGCACTGTGCAGTGTTTAATCATGCCTTCTTCACAATCACTTTTGTTTTCTCTACCCCAACCCTACTTGTTAGCCATATTCTTCTCATCTTACTTTGTTTTCTTTGTGGAACCCCAAACAGACAAGGTGACAACGACTTGTTAGTTGTTTTCTTGCTCTATTTTTTTTCATCTTGTGTGAGAATGGCTTCAAACATGGCTGGTGGTCAAAGCTCAGGTGGTGGGGTTTCTGGATCACTCCCTACTGCAACCAATAGCTCCACTGCTGTGGGCTCTTAAAGCATGCCTCATAGTTTGGTTCCCCGGAATGTTCATGGAAGTACGGGTGATGAGGGATGGAAATATGCATTTTCAGTTCAAGGAACTGTGAAGGATCAGTACAAATTCTGCCAAAAGGTACTAAATGAAAGTATTTATCGCTTAAAGCACCACTTGGCTAAAACAAATCAAAATGTTGAACCTTGCAAATCTGTTCCTGAAGATGTGAATAAGATGATGGAGATTATTACTTTCTTGATGAAAAAAATAGCTAAAAAAATCACTCTTTGGAAATTAGTGAAAAGAGAAAAGCCACTGAAGGTGCTGAAGTTGAGTGTGTTGGAATCAAACAGTTTTGCAAGAAAAGGGGTGTTGGTCCACAAGCCACAATAAATAGCATATTCAAGAAGGGTATAAGGAAGGATGCATGTCAAGCAATTGCAAGATTTTTTTACAACAATGCCATAGCTTTCAATGTGGCAAGAAGTGAAGAATTTCCTGCTACATGTGAATTAATTGCACAACACAGCGCAGGATTAAGACACCCTCTTATCATGAGATTAGAGTTAAGTACTTGAAGAAAGAAGTGAAATTGACAATTGATCTTATTGGAGAACAAGGCTGTTTGGAAGAATGTTGGCTGCACGGTAATGATAGATGGGTAGACTGACAGAAGGAGGAGAACCATTCAGAACTTCTTAGTAAACAGCCCAAAGGAACAGTATTTTTGAAATCAATTGATGCTTCCCAAATCACCAAAATAGCTGATAAAATATTTAAGATGCTTAATGAAGTTGTGAAAGAGGTTGGTAAGGAAAATATAGTGCAAATTGTGACTGATAATACAGCAAACTATAAAGCTGCTAGAGAGATGTAAATGGAGAAAAGGAGAAACTTATACTGGACTACTTGTGCTGCACACTGCATTGATCTAATGTTGGAAGACTTTGACACAAAGATATCCCTCCATGAGGAAACAATTCCAAAGGACAGAAAAATCACAACCTATATTTACTCACTTCTCTCATTTCATTATTGCAACCATGGTAGTCAGAATCAAGATCTTACATAGGATCGAAAAAGGGGTCAGAGATCATCATTACACAGATCGTAAGATCTTACAAAATTGTATATATGCATACAAAATAGTATAAATATGTGAGTGAAACAAACAAAATACATATAAGGGAAGGGAGCCATCCCCAAAACATGAGACAACATGCTCACTGTAAATAAGAGACAGAGACAGCGAACAGAAAGGAGCTTAGAATAAGAGAAAAGGATAAGAAAAATGAGTTAGGTGATGTATTATGAAAATTGGGAAGGAGACTATTTTATCCTTAAAAAACAGTATTTTAAGGGCAAAAAGGGGAAGTCAGATTATTTTAAAAGATAAAGTCTATTTTACCCTTAAAAAAAGTTAAAAACTGCTTTATTTTAGGGGTAGAAAGGAAAAAGAGAACATTTTTACTCTAGCCAGGGCAGAATGGGGAAGTCAGTTTATTTTTAAAAGATAAAAAGTCCTTTTTACGCTTAAAAAACCCTAAAAACTGCTTTGTTTTGGGGTTAGAAAGGGAAAGTTAACATTTTTCCTTTGGTATCAAGAAGAGGTAATTGATTATCTATCAAATTTTGTTAAAATTAAAATTGTAGTTTTTTATTCATTATTTGAAAATTAACCCATATTATTTATTCTTTAGTTATATGTCTCTATGGAATATCATTGATAATAGATGCGACAAACAACTTCGTAAGCCTTTGCATGTTGCTGGCTATTTTCTCAACCCTTAATTACATTATCGTCTTAGATTTTAAGTTGATCTTGAAGTTAAATAAGGACTATACGATTGTATGACAAGGATGGTGCCTGATATTGAAGAACAGGCCAAAATTTATGTTCAAATTGATGATTTCAAGAAACAAAATATGGTTTTTGGTAGCCCCTTAGCTAGAGCAACACTTCAGTTTGGAGTACTAAGGTGAAATGGCATGATCAATATATTATGAAGCAGAAATATAATCTTTTGGATATCATACCTATGTAGGTGGATAGGCCACTAAATGCCTTACATGACATGATGAAAGTATACAAACAGTACCCCCCCCCTTCCCCATTCCCAGTAAAAAGTAAGAAAAGGGTCATGCCATGACATTATCACTTTGTTACTCAATATCATTCCTATCTTCTAGGCATTTTCAGCCTCAGCATCAATAGTTCTCTGACTATTGATTATTTTATATTATTTCTTTCAATATCATTACTGAACATTTTAAGGAACTTTGGTCAGAACAATAATGTGCCCTCCACTCTGATTTCTTCAGTGAATAAAATGTATTATCAAGACCAGACCACCACACAAAGAGTGTAACTTAGGATGATACCTTGAAAAGGTTAAAAGACATCTGCTTTTGGACTCGGAAACTCCTCACTTTGTCATGATCTACAAGATCGAAGTATATATCCTTTCCAATCTGCTCTGCAAGATCTTCATCTCTTGCCACCTAAGAGAATCATGCTATCAGTATTAACAAACTCAATTTGATCGTTTAATTCACAACCTAAGTAAAGCAAAAGGCAAACAACATTCAACTGATTCTTCAAGAAGTCAGGGTCAGGAACTATGAACCTTTATAATAGTATAAAGGTGAGCTTCTGCCTTTTCTTTCTTTTTGTGTTCTTTTTCTTCTTGCTCTTTCTTCAACCTCTCCTGCATTAATCCATTGCCCAAATCATGCCAGATTTCCAGAATAAAGTAACAGCAATAATACAATAATATATAAAGTAGAAGACGGCAGCAAATTAAACTTTACTTAATTTTGGCCCAACTGGTCCATAAACCATGCAGCAGTTCTCGTTAGAGAAAAAAAAAAAAAATCAGGTTCAAGGAGGAAAAGAAAAAGGATAAGTTGTTAAGTGTCATCAAGGTGATTACAACAGCTGAGCTGCAACAAGCTTTTCTATATCTATTCTCAAATAAACCAGCCATCAAAATTTGTGTCTAAAGTTGAAGCAAATGCCAAACTTCACATGTTTGTATTCAACTTGGATTACATCGTCTGGAATCCTAAACAGATTCTCATGCTTACCCTTAAATGTGCAGCAATGTCTTTCTCATCCACATTGCATATAATTTTGTCCTTGTCACTTTCACGTATATACACCAGCATATAAGCATTTGAATATTTGGTGAACTTAAATGGAGTGTTGTTAAATCCAGGATTTGTCTGTGGCAACTGTTAAAACACAAAAGATTCAGTCATTAACTGACAAATATTCAAAATGGAAAAAAAAATGGCACAGTCAATGGCAATAATTACCTCCTCCTCACCACCATATTGCTCCTCTAATGCCCGTTTATTGTCTTCTTTTGTCACTCTCTCGTCATCAAATTTGTACCTGAGTGCCAGGCAGATATTCAAATATAGAGATTGTTCCAGAACCAAAAGAAAAATAAAAACAGCAAAAAGAAGGTAGTTTCTCCCAGTGTGTTGCATATTCATGTACAACCCTAATTACAATTGTAGTCACAATCTACCAAAAGGGTACCAAAGAACCGAAACCTTTCAATTGTCTACCACTCCAACAGCCTGATTTCAAATATTATCTACAACATACCTCATGCAATTTATCCCATTTACATATAAAACACTTGATATAAAAGAAGTAGAACACCAAAAAATGTCAACTGATAAGAACAAAAGAAAACAAGGCTCTTTATATGCAAAATTCCTCCTCCTTAAATTGAAGAAAACTACAAAGAATCAATCTAGTAACTATAAGATATAGAATGTCACCCAAGGTAATCAATAGACATTTTTACAGTTAAACCTATGGCAGCGGCCATTGGCCACCACAGAACTTCAATAATAGTGTGTTTTCATTTGAGGGTGTTGTCACTTGTCATCACTCTGGTGGCCGTGGCCCACAAAATGGCATTTCATCGCACTGCAGCACCATCTCAGAGAGGCTGGCCAAAACCCAACTTTTTCAAAGGTATCAAAACCCTAACCTAGTTTTTTCCCTGATGCTTTTATCCCCTCTGTTCTGCAGTTCTGTCTCTGCTGTTCTGCAACCAGAGTGGCAGAGCTACGCATCTCCAGCAGTATTCCAGTGACACTCAAGTCAAAACCTTTTCACTCTGCAGCCTTGCTTTGTTCTTTTCTCTCTACTCCTCACTTTTGTTCTCTCTTCCAGTGACATTTCCGGTGTTGACTCGTGTTTCTAATCAATCCATGACAACGTTCTGTTCTATGTCCCTGTGGCAGTGCTCTGTTCCATTTTAGACTCTCATGGACGCTCTTTCCTTTGTACTATGTCATCATTTTGACAATCAACAATTTTCTTAATATTTAGCAATTATATTGGGTAAAAATAAATTATTTAATTTGTATCTCTAAAATCTCATACTTCCAATGTGGGACTTGTCTCATACCTTGCAATGAGATCCTAACAATCTCCTTTATTTGCAGATTTATTTGGCTGTCCATGTTTTTCTTGTCAACCCCTAAAGCACATTTTCATTAATACTAGAGTATCTAATCTTTTGGCAATGCTCATAATTCGACATTTTTCTATTTTTTATTTTATAAAATAAAATAGCAAATAAAAAATAATCATACATGATATTCGTCATGATTTTTTTCAACCCCTGCTCTGTTGCTTCTGTTTTTTCTGTTTCCTGTGACTGCCCTCTTTTTATTGCCCTTTCATTTTGTTTTCTATTTTCTGCCCCTATATCGTTGATAAGTAATGATGAAAATGTCTTTAAATTTTGAGTTATATCAACATTTGAGCATTAATATATGTTTAGTATGTTTGCACGTATGCTTGTATGGATATAGATTATTTAACTTCTATTTAACATTTTACAGCAGTGATCATCATTCTACAGCAGCTTTGGAATTGGCCACTCCATGCCGCTATCCAGGATTAATAGCTATGCTTGGGATTAACTTTTTATATTTCTTAATAATTCATAATCTGTTTCATTATTTAGCTAGGATTACAATCTAACATTAACATAAATATGGGCTAGTGCTTTATATTTTGTATCACATTGTAATACATTATATAACATTATTATCAACATCAAAGTATTTATTCTAAGGTTAATTAAGTTTTTGGTCCCCACAAAAATTCGCAATTTTCCCAATTAATCCCACATTTTTAATTTTTTTTTTCCAAACACATCCTTCATAATATATTTTTCTTTACTGAATGGTCCCCTTACAATTTTTGTTTCCCATTTGGGCCATCTAAATGTTAATCTTTTTTCTAAATGTCATATTTTCCTATTTCGTTCTACTAAATATCACAAGTTTCTCATTTAGTCCTCATCTATGTCATGAATTTTCCATTTTGGTCTTCCTAAAACGAAGGGACTAAATGAAAACTCCTGATATTTAGAGGGACCAAATGAAAAAAATTAACAAAAGGACCATCTTGTAATGAAAAAATATTTTAAAGGGTGTTTGGAAAAAATTAAAAATGAGGAATCAAAAATTTATTAAGTCTTTATTCTATATTTTCTCTGCCCTCAAAACCGAAAATCCTACAATTTCAATATGGTATCAGTGATATCATCCTCCATGACAAACTTAGTAACTATGTTATATCAAATTACCCAAACTCTAAAAATTCCAATGTAAGAATGTGATTATCTCCATTATCTAAGAAATGAAGTTCATGCATAAAAGCTTGGTTCCATGAAGTGTAAGATACACCCAGACGCACCAATATCATCTACTGCTCATCTAACTCTTCACTTGCATGTCCAGTTTCCCAATAGTTTCTAACTGTCTCATCCACCATACATTGTCAACAAAAACATTTACCATCAATCTTTCAAGGCAGAACCACCACCAATAGAATCATTATTGCCAATATGTTTGCTACCCAAATCTGAAGTCCAGACTCCAGGACCCCAGGGATGTACTTTTCATGTGATACCACCATCTCCTTGCATTTCTTATGTGCCCGCATTCTCCTGCATGTAACATACCTGCTTCCAGTGACAAATGCTGAACCCTACTCACCAGAGTGCCCAATCTAGACCTACACTCATTGTGTTCTCCATCCTCAAAGATGTGTTTTGCCACTACAGCACTTGTTTGGATGCGTTCAACTCTTCTTCTTTTTCATTTACCCATGGCCTCCAATGTCTTTGGAACCCTTTCCTAAGTAGTTTTAAGCAGAACCACAATCATGTTGCTATCTGTTGCAGTTGTCGCTTTCTATTGTCAGGACTCAGGCTTAGTCTTCATCACCTCTATTTTCCACTTTGACGTGTCTGTTTAGTATTTTTAACTACCAACTGTTTTTTTTTTTTTTTCACTGCTAGCATGGCATTGAGTGGGACCTAGCCACAACTTCTCTCCCAGATGTGGTCTGTCCCCATTGTTTACAATCCCAAACACAGTCTTGCCCCCTTGATCATCAGTCCAACCAAAATAGCTTCATCCCCATCCCAAGTCATCCAGTGTTTTTCATGACAACCTCTTTCTACCAATGATCAATTCAGTGACTTGTTTTCATCAATGAATCATATATTGATGAATCAACCATGATCAATAGTAGCCTCATTAGGATTGGGTAAAGCTAAGACTAAGACAACAATTTGCTGAGTGGAGGAAGACAAGGTCTTTCAACTAACTAGTTGCAAGCTCAAATTCACCAAATTTCTTCAAGATGCAGTAAATGTAAGTCATTTGTAAGTATTCTTTGTATCCAAAGACTTCCCCTGCCTTGAGACTAGAGCACCATCCCCTTACTCTATTTAGTTATGCATAAAAAAGGCCTGGTTTCAAAGGCAATTTAGCAAATAGCATCCTAACAAAATCTTTCCTTCCCAAGTTATACAAAATTCCAACCTGCTCTTTAGGATGATGATCACTCCAAGAATTTGGCTGAGTTACCTTTCCAAGGATGTTATTCTCACCAATGTCTCAACCATCTATAAATTGCCTTCCCAATCATGCTTGGCAACATTGTAAATTGTAAAATTGCATCTTTGTGGGATCATCAATGTCTCAACATGGAACAATTCTACAAGGTGGACCAGGTAGAGGAATCCACAAGAGTAGGAACAAGCTCGATAGATGTCTTAGCCAGAGCACAGAGCAAGGTGGACCAAGTAGTGTCTAGAGTAGGAACAATGGGGCAACCAAAGATCTGATCATCACAAACATTAGAATAAATCTCAAGTAAACAGGAGATAAAAGCTCATTGAAATCAAGGAGACCAGAAACCCAAACCAAATAGATAGCCATAGAATCACTAAAAGATCAAGCACCAATAACAGTTACAAGGTCATGACATATCACATAAAGTCGTTGAGTTTCACTGGTATAAAATGACTTAGCCCAAGTCCATATAGCTAATAGCTTCACATGTCTTGTGCGCACAAAAAACAAGTCAAATAGAGGGTGAACAAAGTTGGGCATCAATCTATGTTTCCAATGAGAGTGATTATCCACGGCAATATTTTCAACCTTCGTAGTTAGATGCTCATCGTAATCTTATCAGACAAGCCAAAGACGAATATTTGAAGTCCAAGTGGAAAACGTTTTACCATCCAATTGCTCAATAGAGAAAGGAGCACTGACGTGATTGGTAAGCATAGCAGGTTTAGTCTTTGGAGGGTTAAAATAGTAGCCATGGGCAGTCAGAGGAGAGCAGAAGAGCGTGAACCATCTCGAATAATACAAAATGGTCCCAAACAGTGTTGTAGAATCCCTGAAACACTCAACCAAGGACAGATTGAGAACAAGCATTAGGATACGAGTTTTGTTGCACAAACAACAGCTGAAAAAAGTGTTCATGCACCGCCATGCACAGCAGAGGTTGCAACAAGGGAGAGAAGGCAGCAAGCACAAAAAATGTGCATGTGAGCATTTGCATGGCCTAATTGGCCTAAAATTTCAAGGCAGATCTTGAGCAGCCGGTGCAAATTCTGCACTCGGTGACCCAAAAAAAAAGCACAAAGGATGGCCAGAGGTAAACAGTGGCAACCAGCTATGAACTGTCACAAGACATGCTAAAAATAGTAGGAAGATGACCAAAAAGACCAGAAACCTTCGAAGAAAAAAGGTTTCCAAAAAACATGCGCCAATGAGCAGTGACCCCACTGGATAATCACGAAAGGTTGTCCCTAGTTAGGCTCTAATACCAAGTTGAGAAAGAAAGTAAACATGGGATGAATTTGTCTGTTGAAATACACAGCAGAGCTAACTATTTATAATATTGCATAACAATTGAATAATATTGCCTAATATTTGCTTAATATTCTGTTATCTATAATCACTCTATCTACATAACTATCTATTTACACATTAATCTCAACAAAGTTAATGTCAAATTTAGAGTATTTAGCCTTATACTTTAACCTTTTCCTCACTATACCTAAAATTTCATAATTTCAACATTAATAGTATCACTTCCCCTATAATATAAAAAGAAGCATGAAATTAATTTCACTGTGCAACATTACTCAATTTGCATTGTATCAAAAAATTGTAGTACAAAGAAAAAGGACAAATATTTCTCTTCAAAAATTGAATGTGGAATGAACAAGGCCTTATCTAAGCCTTATTAATATTATATCTTGATTGCTATCTGTATCAACTAAGTCCAAACTTTCAAGATGACAGTATATGGACTCATGTTTAGTAGCAGCTAAAATAATTATGCATTATAATATCAACATGCTTTACTTCCCACTTGTCCATCCTTACATAACAACTCCATCCCAATAAACAGAAAGATGCTTGTAACATAATCTGAGATCTAACAACAATGCATACAACATCATGTACTTGTTCTTCATGTTTATGTCTCATGCCCCCATCACCTATGCACAAATACATGCTATCTCAAAATGCAACGAAAATGGAGATCTGTTAATACTATTCCACATACCACTGTTCAGAGAGAGTTGGCCTGATAAAAGCATAATAATGTCCGCCATGCACACCTCCACTGTGAACCAAAACACTGGGGGAAATTTTAAAGTATGTTAAAATCAAAATACCAAAGATCAAATATGCATAAAACTAATTGCATAGCAATGTATTCATTAGCATGGAATGGAAAATTTGAAATTTATAATTTTTATGCATACCTTTAGTTAAAGAGGAATGCTATTTAGTAGGTAAAAATGCACAATACATGGATGGTGAAAGTAGTAGTTTTCAAGGAAACTGCAGACACCAATCACATGCATTCAGCCACTCATCATTTCATACAACTTTCCCTAAATGTTAGTTTTTCATGCAAAACAGCATTCTCCATTATTAAATAGAAATCCAACTGATTAACAAGAATACACCAAGGATCAACTCCCTTGTCTATTTACCTTAATTTTGGATGTACTTACTAAGCATATACAGGAACTAGGACCTCAGCATGCTTTAGGCAGATGATGAAGTCCTAGTAAGAGTCGAGAGAGGAAATAAATGGAAAGAAGAGTTGTGGACAGCAGCCGTTAATTCAGTTTCCAGTTTAAATTAAGACAATATATGGAATCGATGTTCGGAAGAACACCACTGACATAGGGGCAAAAATTTGGAACCATAACATACCACAAATCTCACATTTTCTGCATCTTATGATCTATCACACAAAGTGATGGCAACATTCAGGAAGATGTAAATCACAGGATTCAAGCTAGGTGGATAAAAAAGTAGAAATACTAGTCTCATTATTTCTGACTGAAAGTTAAGATCCATGCCTAGGAATTTCTTTATAGCAATAAAACCAGCTATGTTCTATGCATAGTTGTTAATCTCGGATAGCGGGGTGTAGCGGATGACCCTCAAAATGCATCACGGGATAGCGCATAGCAGGATTGCCACTATTTTAAAGATTTTTATATGGATATAAAGTCTATACATATGCAGATAATTATGTATATAATAATGCTAAACCGATATGCATAAATAGCATAACATAACAGAGGTAGGACTGTAGAATCATAGAATAGAGAGAAGAAAGGAAGTGGCTTTTGCCAAAGAAGTCATCCTAAATGAGTAACTCTGCTGGATTGGAGATTGTTGCAGAGCAGAACAGAGACAGAGATGGGAGGAGGGAGTATCGAACAGAGAAGGGGGAGAAGAAAAACAGTGTAGAAAAAGTGGGGTTGCAAAGCAGAAGAGAAATAGAGATGAGAGGAAGGGGTGAAAGAGAGAAAGGAAGAAAAAAAGCCAGGGGAAAAGTGGGGTTAGGTCTGAAAACTGAGAAGATTATTTTGCCCTCAAAAAAACCTAAAGATTGCGTCATCATAAAGGCAAAAAGGGAAAATCAGCTTATTTCCTAAATATTAAAAGCCTTTTTTTACCCTTAAAAAAAGGCTAAAATTTCTTCACTTTGAGGGTAGAAAAGGAAAGTTAATATCTTTCCCTGTGATGGCACTATTGTGCCACGAATGGCTGCGACAGAAAAAATTTGCTGGTATGCCAAATCTGTAGTGGCCGAAGGCCGCTCCGCCACACACCACCGCTATCACGCCGCAATCACGTGCTATTGACAACTATGGTTCTATGGTGCTACATGTTAGAGAAGAAGTGTAGAGATAAGAATGTTGCAATGGATGACTGAACATACAAGTAAGATCAGGAATGAATGTAGCTAAGAGGAAGCTCTAACTACTGAGGAAAAGTTGACAAAATCTTACCTAAGAAGGTTTGATCATCAGATATCACCAATAGGCACCAATAATAGCAGTTGACAAGATGGAGTACAGCAAAATAGAATGCGGGTAGGAAAGACCTTTAAAAAAGTTTATTTTTAACAAAACATAATGCCATCATTTAATCCATTTAGCCTACTAAAAACACTGTGGAAAAAAGTTTTTGTTGTTCGTACTCTTGTTGCAGTGATCAACAACAGCTTTATAATATTATTTATCAAATTTTTATTATTCATTAATGATTAAGAAAATGTCTTATATTTATCTACAACAGCTCTTGTTGCAGTAACTCTTCTCCCCAAGATAAATTGTGTTCAATTTGTTTGCCCCTATGTATCCCTTTTTTCCAAACTAGCATGTGTACAAAGTGTTCTTTTCACTCTGGCTCTCAACCAATGCCCTCACATCATTTTCTCCTCTTTTACCTCCTTTGTCCCGTTTTTATTCTCTACTTCCTCCAAGAAATTTCTCTTCTAATGATGCTCTAGAAAACACACCACACGAAGCTCGTCAAAGCTACTTTCGCGCATTCTTAATAACAACATTCAGGATCACCATATGTAAAATGTCATCATTCTCTAATCCAAGATAACCAAGGAAATACAGATAAGTCACTCACTCCATTCAGATATAAAGAGAATTAAGAGCAGCAATATTTGGGGCATGATCTCTTGGTTTCTTAGAAGTTTTTCCACATGTAAGCTATGGCTACTGCCTACTTGGATATGCAACAGTTATTTCAGAAGTTGAGGGAGTAGTGATAGAGAATAGTTGGTTCAACCAACATTTATGGTCTAGCAGATTGCAATAGATAAAATTATGTAGAAGGAAACTCTGCCAACATGTATAACAATCAGTAATTCTGAAACTTGTGCACCCAGCAAAATATATCAAGATGAATTAAACAAATCAAAGACAAATTAGAAAATCATGTTACCCACCACCAAGAAAAACATCACGAAACAACAAATATAAGAGATGAAATCAATAAAATAATATTGGATAGGAAGCTTATCAAAATCACTTTAACATGTTCTTCATAACAATTATTGAAACCACACATAAAATGAAATCATTCCATTATAAAAGATGACCAATGTCTACAAATAATTCATTTGATTTAGATCTGAAATGCACTAACTGATTGCACTAGATAGAAGTATATCAGGAGAAAACTCTGCAACAAATATAGCAACACGTGCTTATAAATATTGGACCAGTCATCAAATGATATCATGCTTTAAAAAATACAGAAAAAATTTGGAAATTTGAAATTGGAAATTGGAATCTGGTAATGAATCAGCAACCACAAGCATAACGTCATAGAATAACACCAGTTATGAATGCTTAATAAAGTAAATAATCAAATTATAAAGGCCATCATCCGATGGAAGAATGCCATACAATCTTTGTTAACAACTACTGCAGAGAGCAGACACAGCCATTACATTACCTGTGAAGAGTGTAAAGATTGCGGACACTCCTATCAGCATCAGGTGATAAATACTTTCCATCCTCACGATCAAGATCAAGTTGTAAGGGAAACTCGTAACGATCATTAATCTACATAGCGAGAGCATGAAGAAAAAACTTAATTTTTCATATAATGAGAAGAGGGCAATCTCTCTATCAAATGTGAAGGAAAACTGAGAGAAACATAGACACTAATGATAATAGCTAATCCCATGCTCACTCTTGCAAAAAAAATCTTCCTTCTGCATAATAATCTCAAATCATGGAACTCATGGAAGTAAATAGGCATACATACAACCCCCACCCCTGCCAGCAGCATTGAGACAATAATAACAAGTAACAACAGCTATAATAATATAACAATGACAACAACAACAACAACAACAAATGGCTTTCAAATAAGAGAAAGTAAATATTAACAAACAATGCACGTGAAATTCCAATGTGTATTTCAATTCCATAAGGTACTATCCTTTAAATTCCACCAAAATTGCTCAGGCACTAAACTAGAAGTCACTACTTTGTAATACTACCAACTAATATTGTTCAAGTTAGCTTTGAAACACCATATACATCCCAAATACAAATAAAGCTGTAACATTAGCAATAGCATGAATGAGAATTCCTACTAACAACCAACAATCAGTAGCATGGTTCTCAAAATTGCACTCCAACTTTTTGGAATGTATGATTCAACATGTAGCAGGCTACTCAGTACTGACTCGCAGATCTGCTTGGAAAGGACTGGATTGTCGCTCCAGAGCTTTGAATCAATGGAATGGCACACCAAAAATGCGCCAGGTTGAGCTCCACACGCAGGTCGAGTTGCACTACCCATTTCACCTAAAATGCCCATTTTTAATCCTTTGTGAACCCTAACCTACACGACCATCCAGAAATAAAGTTTCAACTCTCTCTGCCTCTATTCTCCCTCACATTCAACACTCTCTAAGGGGTTGTTTGGGAAGAAAGGTTTGGGAGGGGAGGGCAAAATTTATATTTTACATAAATATATTTAAATTAATATTTTTTAAAATAAAAGATATAAATTGATATATTAACATAAACTTAATGTATAAACAATGTATTTGTTATCATAAATGATATAAAATCCTGTTAATTTAAAATTAAAAAATATGTCCTCCCCTCCCTTCCCCTCCACAAACCCCCCTCTCAGACATACCCTTTCTGCTCATTTTCATTGCTGGTTTAGGATTTCTCAGTTGCTGGTTTCTGTCTCTCAGTTGCTGCAGCCCTGCACTTGTGTTTTCTTTCTTCTCTTTTCTCCTCTAGTTCTCTGTTGCTGTGCACATCTGCTGTGGTTTAGGGCGGCAAGTTTCTGGGTGTTTACTACAGTACACTACTGTGGGATCTGTTTTTTTGTTAATAAAATGTCAAGTAGCTTTTATGCTTCAGTTTTATGCATCACTTTTGTTTTAGTAAAAAAATTATGTTTTGAGATTTATGATGACTTTTGAGTTGTATTAGGACTTCATGTGTCTTTAATTTAAGTTTTACTATGATTTATGGGTTATTTTTCTTCTTCATGCCATTTGTTATGCTAAATATAATTTAGTAATTTAGTTGACCATTACAACCTTGATACTTGATTTTGACAACCTTGATTAGTAGCACTATACATTGTCAAGTATAACATTAACTATACTGTATGTAACAATCTCCATGCCCATTGTGTAGTAGAGCGGGAAAACAACAGATGCACCTTATTGTTTACAGCAGTTCAACCAACTGAACTTACTATTTCACAGCACTAAGTAAAATTTCTATATAGATAGGTACTAGTAATTTCCATTTATATAGTCAAACAAACATCAAGATAGAGTCATAAACATAAAGCAATGTATCAATCAGACAACCAACCTTGACCATAGTATCTCGCATAAAGTCATATTCAAATCTTTTCAGCTGAAGCTGAAGGACAGGAGGAAAATCAATAAACAGGACACCCTTCTTAGCATCCTGAAATAATTGTGAACGATTAAAAAGTATATTAGTTTATGCATCGAACTCAAGTAAAATACAACTGTTAAATTTTTGTATTCTGACAGTAAATGCATGCAGGCAAGCTACTTAACAAAATATCAAGAAATTGTTTCAAGCGAACAATCCAAATGTTTAAATTACACAAATATATTATATCTGAGTAATATAAGAATACTGGAAGGCAGGACATCAGTGTAAATAAATTAAATCACACTATTCACATTATATGCAAAAAGGCAAAAAATAATCAGTTAATTAATCTTAATATTTTCAGCCAACAAATGATTCCTTCTAGCGGAAAAAATACCATTAAGTTCTTCCATACTATGAAAATTTTCCATACCACTCAGGTATGAGTTGCGAATGAGAAGTGCCTACCAAACTCAAGACAATTATAACTCAATATCATTAGCGATAAACTATGCAATGCATATGAGACAGTGGAGTGACAATTAGAGCAAAAACAGAAGTGTAGCAAAGATTAGAGAACTCAAGAGATGGATGAGTGGTCATACAAGATTAGGAATTATTGTATTCAAGAGAAAAACTTGGGTTGAAATATGGAAGACAAAGATGACAAGAACATGTTGGAAGGTTTGGTCATATGAAAAGAAGACAAACACTCCAGTGAGAAAAATGGTCCAAATGGAAGATAGCCCAATAAAAGGTAGAGAAGAATTAAAAAACTTATGAAAATATTAGGAAAACCCATTAAAATATACCTCTATTAATGATTTTACCAGAATTTAAATATTTTAGAGTCAGATGACTTCAATTTATCCAAGCAACAAATCCAACTATCAGGAAAGGCTTGATTTTTTTATGTTCCCATAGTTCAAAACGTGTCAAATAGTGGTGCAACAACACCAAGGCAGCGCAGTGTGAAGGTCGTTCATTTCCAAACAGATATGACCTCCTGTTTCAGGACAGCTGAAATAGGAGCCAGCCACAAATGGATGCAATAGCTAACCAATGGATCAAAACCCCAACCATGTTTTGAGTGTGAGAATTTCCCTAATTATCTCTGCATTAAAACTCACCTAGAGATACCAACCTGAATTACCCTTTACTAAAACTCACTCACCTGGCAGCAGCATCAAATTAGGTATTTCGATTTAGATGTTCAAACATAATCAGTTTAGGGCTATCCACTCTTCAACCCAGCACACACTTCTCAAGGTTTATGACAAGTCTTCATCATGCAAGTACAACCAACCAACATTTTTCCACCATTTAGGGTTTTTTCCTCCCTTGTTTCACTAATAACCATCCCACCATGTTAACACTAGCCAAAATATGTTTTGCACTGGCAACCAAGCCATATGAAGCATGAACACTTCTCCTTATGAAGGTGTTATAGTAATAAACCCACTTCTACCACCACTGATACTCCTTCAATATTCATATAATATATTATACCAGACACAGGGCACTAGGTGTTCAATTAAAAAAAATTATCAGCTCTAAAAGTCTAAAACGTGTCAAACATGGCTTAGATACTAAGTTAAGACCCAAATATGGTTTGACAAAGGACACAGCTCATATAATTTTTTTTTTAAAATATATATATTTTTTTAAATAACTTTGAGAAAGTCAACTTAAAATATAAAAACAGTAATGACTAAAAAACATTTAAAAGATGCCAAATGTTAAGAACCTTATCCAATAACTTTCATTCGGTTCTAAAACATAATTTTGGTTCGGTTCTAAAACTTAAACATCTTTCTATTGTCTTCATCACCACTACAAGATACTTCCTTGCTTGTGACTCCTCCTTGTTCATTGCTCCTTCCACTTGCTATCTTTCTGGTTCTTTGCTTCTACTTATTCCAGTTCCTATTGATACAATAGCCTAAGTTCTCCACTGCTTACTGTTCCTTTGGTCCCAGAACCCATAAACCTTCCATATTGACAGCCCCAGTTTACATAACATAGCATCCAGCTCAAAAACCCCTTCTTTCCAGTGGCGTGTTGTTAAAAAACCGTTATGGCCGCACCCCCATGGCAGGTATCGGTGGTGTTATTCAACCAAACTGCCACAACCATAGCAAGAAATAGCAGTTTTCAATGGCGGCCATTATGCACATGGCAGTAATGGCAGCCATGGCAGAAATGGCGTTTTTGACAAGAAAAATTGGGTTGGGTCTGTTTGGAGTGAAAACCTGCGAGCCCAAACCCCCAATCATATAATCACATCTCTTCTTCATTGCTAATGCACAGCCGTGGAGCGGCAGTCAGCCACGTAATACTTGCTGTCATGAAGCATTACTTCCGTCACAGAGTTTAAGCCCTAATCGCAAACAGTAGGTGCGCATTTTTAAAGTGTAATGGAGAAAGGGAGCAAAAGTCTTATCATGCCCTTGCTACAGTGTCATTTAGGGCTTTTTTTAAGGGCAAAATGGACTTCTGCCCACTTCAAATTTTTTCCTTCTCTTTTTGAGCAATTGTACATACGAATGTTCTCTTCCCTGCTCTGATTTTTCTTCCTTCTTATCTAAAGCCAACTTCATCTCCTTCATCACCATTTTTGCCAAAGAAGACATCCTTTCCGGCTGTTTTCCAGCAACTATGAGTGGAGGGCCCTGTTTTTCAGCATCAATTTTCCATTTTGCTTCTCTAGGCTCTGTTTTTCTACTTCATACAGTGCTTTATTTGTCACTCTTTACGTCTATTTTGCTTCTTTTGGTGCTATGTTTTTCAAACAGTATTCTGTTTCTCACTCAGTCAACATCTTCAGTTTCCCTCTTTTTTAGATTTTCCCTCTCCTATTCTTTTTTTTTTTTTCAATAATATTTTTCCCTCTCCCATTCTGTTTTATTCCCCCACTTTTTTCGTCTTCCCTTATTATTCTGTTTTCTTGATTCTATTATTCTGTTCTCACTTCCAAGTTTCCTTCTACATTTTTATTTTTAATTCTCTGTTTTTCTGATATAACTTCAGCTTTTTCTCTATTTTACAACCATTTTATTCTTTTTTTATCAAAACCTTCTTTCTTTTAGATGTAGTTAGTTTTCTAGTTTTATATGACCGCCATGCTTCCTTCCACCATAACCCGCCATGTCATCCGCCATAATTTTATGGCAGTTCTTTTGCTTTCCTCCATGACCCGTTATCCGCCATTGATACCATTGGCAGTGGCCCAAGGTTCTTTCCCAGTCAGTTGCATAAAATTGTATTACTCAACAATGTATTTTTACAAACTTTGGGATCCCATTTGTCATATTCTGAAATTCATGATTTTCTTGAGTATTGAAGAAAGTATCAATGCATAAGTCTCTCCCAGTTTCAAAAAAAAAAAAAAAAAGTTACCGCAGGTACCATCATGGAGAGAAGGGGTCTAAATTTCATGCTAAAAAGGTAACACCTACAAAACATGTACTTTAAAAAATTATATACATTGATTGTATTGATTGCACAGAAGTTTGAAAGTAAAATCTACCTTGTTTTAATAAAACCAACCTCTATACATCCACACCAAAAGTGTGGGTGATGATGGAGACAGTGGAAACTATGAAATAAATACAATCTGTGCGATGTAACTTCTAATGAGTTTTAAACATGAGTAAGGACACACTTGTTAAAGATCAACTGAAAAGACATTCAAGCATGTCAATTGTCAAAAGAGAACAACTCCAAAACTCAGTTTAGAAAGAAATGAAATGAGACTTCATTGAGGGTGGAGATGTCAAATACCAAATCTAGCTCGTTTTCAGTTTCTAATCAACACCAAAATTGCTCACTGACAGTACAAACATTGTTGGTGTTAATCCAGAACAGAGAAAGACATTTGAATCTCTAAAAAGTGCTTTTAATGTGCAAGCTAGAGAGACGTGTTGAAATTATAGGTTTTAGATACAAAAGGAGGAAAAGAGAGAAAAAAAATGATATACTAAGAGAATGAAACATTGAATAGATATTTCTTAAAATCAGGTTTGGGCTTATCTCAACCCTGAAAGCTAGCTCATGAGGATTACCTTAGCTTATATAAGCTCTACTTTAACTATATCTATAGCCAAGGTGGGACCTATATTATAGGATTTTATATATATATATATATATATATATATATATATATATATATATATATTACCCTAGGAAAGTCGTGGGAGCAAGTAGATTGCACTGAAAAATCCACGAAACCAGGTGCAAGGTAGGTTGCACTAAGAAATTCACTAGCCAAGTTAATTGCACTAGAAAAACTTGTGGGACCAAGTCATTTTTTTTGTATGGTGGCCTAATATCAGATTTACATTAGACTCGGATACAATCTTAAATTTTGACTTACCTAACTTATCCTCATTCCTCAAAAGCTAGCTTGTAAGGTGAAGAAATGAGGATTGTATTAGCCTATATAAGGTCTACTTAGGCTATATTTGTAGCTGACAAAGAAGCACAGACATCTCTCTTGTTTGAAGTGTTGCATTGTTAGATACGTTTCCAACACCTACACTTCTCAGATACTTGTTTGACACGTGTTGAACACTCTTCACTAGGCGTCCAATAAAAAAATATTTTTTTGGCCAACATCTCCATTTGACTTGGACACCTGAGCCAACACTTTAGTATAAATGGACACACACAAGTGTTATTAAAAAAATCACTTTTTTAACATTTAAAAAACTTGGCTTAAATTTTATGTAAAATATTAAAAAAAGATGCTTCATTAAATTTTTTTTTGGCTTAAATGAGTCATTATCATAGAAAAAAGATAAACTTAGTATATTCATTTGAGAAGGTGAATATGATATAATTTTATCTTCTTGTAAGATCTTTTTATAAAGAGATCAAGCACTTACATTGTTAAATAATGTCTCTTAATATTTTTTTGAAATTATGTGCGTGTATGTGTATATACATATACATATACATATATATGCAGTGCCCTATATTTTAGACATCAACTATCTCAAAGTGTCCATATCATGAGATCTATGAAGCCCGGATACGTGAAAATACTGAAAGTATCCGTGTCGGACACGTATCCGATACCGATATGTCTAGATACGTATCCCAAAAGTATCCGTAATTTAATTTATATTAAAAATTAATTTCAGATGAGATACGGCTTGGATACGGCTGGGATACAGCTTTAAATCATCCGATACGGCTAGACTAACAGCTTCAATACGTTTATTATTGAAACATAGGGTTTCAATCTTTCTTCTCCCATTTCTCCATTTCTTTCATTCTTTCTTCTCCCATTCCCGATTTCTCTCCTCAGAACCTCATCCAAAATCAAAACCTGGCTAGGGCTTCTTCAATTGCGATTCTCTTCTCCCATTTCCCCATTTCTCTCATTCTTTGCGAGATAGTAATGCTCCAGAACCTCACCCAAAATCAAAACCCAGCTAGAGCTTCTTCGAGCTGCGATTCTCTTGGCGAAACAAGAACTATTGCGGAAGCAAGATGATTTGGAGTTTTTTGAGAGGTCGATCCTGGTCCAGCAAATTCCTAAGGCATCGATTCTTGTTGAGCAAGTTCTTGAGGTGTTGATTCTCCAATTCGTGATAGTGGGTGACGTGATTTTTGTTTTGAACTTTGTTCCTCTTCTCTGGTCTTCGCAACGGTTTTGTTGCTCTTCTCCGTATTTTATAGTAACAGTCTAAAGGTTACTCTATTGCAGTTGCGGTAAAATCTCACAAACTTTCTCTTTTCTAATCTCCTTTTTTCTATTCATTTTACAGCAACAAAGTAAAAATGTTATTCTTGTATTTTTCAACAGCTGTGTTTGTTGACAAAAAATGAGTTCTGATGCTAAGTCTAATTTTAGAATTCCAAGTAACTTCGGTTCATTAGAACTTCAAGATGATCATGCTCCACTTTGGGCATTTGTCACTATAAAGGATAAGCTAGGAGATGGAGGAGGCAACAGGCTATGGAGTTGTAATTTTTGTGAGAAAGTTGTAACATTAATATAAATTAATTATCAATATTTTTTATAAATATTATTTTTTTAAATTCATGTTAAAGTATCTAAGCCGTATCGTATCTTGAAATTTAAATTTTTTCCGTATCCCCATATCCGTATTGCATCGTATCCCTGTCGTATCAAGTATCCAGGCCTCATATCATGAGATGTATCACAGTCATTAAACCTAGCGCTCTAACCCTTATTTATACATTAAGCACAATCCTAACTAAAATGGAAAGAAATCATAAGGAAATTTTGGAACCAACTGTACTGTAAGAGATAATGCAGAAAAAGGGAAACCAAGCATAAAGGGTAATATAAGGTATTCTAAAATATGATTTAGATAATAATGGGTACTTTCATGCACTACAACAATGTGATCATAAATTGCTATTATTTTTCTCTACAAGTGGTAACAGAATTTGCAACAAACTGTAGTCAGTTAAACTAACTCTAACAGTCTAACTAATGTAACAGATAACAGAAGTACATAAGTTTCTTATAGTAGTCATACAAGCACAACACATTATAAAAGTGGTTTATTGCTTCAGCTTTGTATGAACAGCAACTAACCTGCAAACCATACTGTTCAGCATGATATTTGTTATCCCCCTCAAGACGTTCAACTTCAACATACTTATCAAAGGAAGCATAAACATCACGGCAACCTTTGACATCAAGCTGAAGGTCTAACATGGATATGTAAAACTAAGTTAGCGTTATGCAAAAAGCAGAACTAAACATACAACTGAATTAAAAAAATCCACAAGTACCATAAAATGACTCCTTCCTAGTTGATTTGTAGTCTACATTGATGCATTCTATGTAGTTCATATGGTGCCCTTCAAATAGCTTTTGTATAGTTCCCTCAACAACAGTTCCCTGATGACAAATACATAAAAATAACCGTTTGATATGGTCACTTGTCATGAAAATCAAGACAAATATACCAAAGGTCTCTGTCCAACCTTCATTTTGTCTTCAAGTTTTTCACAAAGAACCCGATTTAGTTCTTGAACATCATGCTGCATGAAAGAATCATATGTATCCCATCCAAAAGACTTTGTCAGCTCCTTTGTCGCAACACTAGTGTCACTATATTGAAGCTTGTAGAATAAACTTTGTAGAGCCAAAGGGATGCTTCCTGTGGGCATATCATTCTCAGTTGTTGGCATATGGTACACAGCCTGAAATATAATGACCAGGTACCAACTTCCCATTACTTTCCAACAAATAAGCAAACTTCAGGAAAAACAAAATAAGAATAATTTTTCTAACCTTTCTAAAATAAGGAATATGATACAAGGTTTGGAGAAGAGAATTCATATAACAGGTAGCTCCTTGGTTCTTAAGCCCAACATAGCCAGTCTCCTTCTTTGAATCATAAGTCCAGTAATCAACAATCCTACGAACAAGAACCTCAGCTTCAACTATAAGAGTATCATTCACAAGATACCCTCTACTAGGATCATACAATTCACCAAGAGGCATGAAGGACGTGAAACCCCAATCACTTTCACGAGCATTAAATTGGTGTTGCGTGTCTGCATAATGTGAGTAAAATTAAATTACAAGGTCATAGATAAATCCAAACTTTCTGCACACTTTCACTTTTTTCTATTAAGAAAATTGAGACAGGTAACACTGACAAGTTCATCTAGCATAGACTGCAGAACCCATTATCTTGTTCTCCACCCAATTATTAAACAAGGTGCAAGCAGGTAGAACCAAAGGCTAACTACAATATGAACTCTGACACGTGTCTATGAATAACTGCTAACCTAAAACCCCACCTCCATCCATGCCCAAAAAAATGCTGCTAACCTATGGTTAATTCCGAACAAGGGGCACCAAGATGCAGCAAAATAAATTAAGAAACAAAAATAAGTATACAATGAGCAAGTATTGATGATTGACTAATAGATTAAATTAATACATTATAAAAGAATCTTTATCGTGCAACGAGGTATCATACACTCTTCCATCCAATAATTGCAACAAAAAGCTAGCAAAACTCTTTAACTTATAATTCTAGCGATGCTCTCTCCTATGTACATTTATGGCTAATCTATGTTGTCATCTTGTAAAAGTAAAAGTGTAAAGATCAAACTGCAGGGACTACCTTTTCTCACACAATACTTATTATGGATTTGATTAACAACTGTCAAGCTAAACTGTGCATATCTACTCCAACCGTAGGGCAAACTAGCTGAATCTGCAACATCCAAATACATGGACAAATGGTCCACATTGTTTCCTTTAGGGAAAATCAGCACACGCCTGTCAGGCATGAAACAAAGTTCATCAGAGCAAATCAATGAAAACAAGTATACATAGACGAGCATATTAAAGAAGGAGAAAAAAAAAAAAACCTTGTTACCCAACAAAGTAAATTTCTTAGAAAAATACCATTTATAACCACCAACAATAAATATTTCTGAATAGAACTTCTTTGTATTCAGCCTAGAAAAGTTATCAATTCTCCACGTGAATCTGGATGACGGAGGATCCTCGACAGGCTGGCTCTCCACTGTATTGGCAGTTTCAGGTTGAGCTACAACTAACGATCATCAAAGAAACAAAAAAAATAGCAATCACCTATCACATCAGAAATTAGCTGAAAACTTAAATTAGCAAAAACAAAGTGCTACCATAACTGAATTAGACCCTCCAATCGCTTACCAGGAAAAAAAGGTAAAAAAGAGGTGAGAGAATTAACTATGCATTCAACAAAGGCAATGAAATTCCATAACTTCCAAAGTACAAGGCAACCAATGCATGGATTTAGAAAATCTTGTGCTAAGAACTAGTAGCCAAAAAGCTGTTTTATGCAAAACCAATCCAAATTACAGATCAAACATTCCTTAAAGAATCTTCCTTCATCTAAACAAACGATAAAAAACACAAAACCTAAAATCCTTAAACAATTTTTCAGTCAGTCCCCCACTCTCTCACCACCAACCAGTGCATAAACCAACTTCCCAATCGCCTCAAAACAATTCAATTAAATCACACAGAAACTAACAATAGCAGTATATAGAGACACAGTTCCTTAAAAAAAAAATAATAACCAAAAAAAATTGGCACGGATCAAAGGAAGCAAGAAACAAGAACTACCTTCCATGGGTTGGTGATTGTTCTCAGGCAAATCCGCGTGCGGCACAAGCACCTCCTCGTCCTCTTGTTGCTGCACAAAACAAAATCCAAACCATACACATCACCCTAGTTCGGATCCACCGCGATACACACCAAAGCCCCCATCAATAACATAAAGCCCTAAAATCGAAACCCGGAACCGCACCAAAACTCACGAAATTGCAACGAAACTCTCACTCGCTCAGATCAAAACGACGATACAAGAAAACGAAAACGAAACCGAAAACCCCGTCAGTGCCACCACTCCCCGAAGTGGAGAAAAAATAAAATTGAATGACACAAGTCGTCGTTCAGCGAAAAATCGCGCTAAGAGAAGCACAACACAAAATCTATTATTGTGAATAAAAAAATAGGAGAGTGAAAGGGTGCGTTCAGAGAGAGTTAGGGAACGCGTACGTCAATGGGAGCGGGCATCCTCACGGTCATGATGAATTGTCTTGGGATTCAAACCTGTGAGGGTTATCGTTGGAGATAGAATGAGAAATTTAGAGAGAGAGAGAAAGAAAAAGAGGATTGTAAGAGAGTAGTGTGTGTGAGAAAACGAGATCACCAGAAGCTGGTTCCAGAGAAAAGAGAAGAAAAGAGGTCTTGGTCTTTATTTCGGGGGTTTGGGCAATTAGGAGATTTCGCGTTCCAACTGTTCATAGTAGTTCTTAGAAACTGCAGAGTCACATAGGGTACAAGTGCAATTTAGGGGTCGAATTGGGTCATTCTCTTTCTCATAAAAAGCAGATATGGATTATGTTAAAACTTCGTTAAAATTTGTTTTCCATTTCAATTATGGATAAATATGCATTCATCAATCTGTTAAATGTATGATGCTGTAATAATATAATTATACTAATTTAAGTTTTTAAAGTTAAATATAATGCTTTATTCGACAAAAGGAACTGAAGGTGGTCAATTGAAAGTTATGAATTAGTAGCTGAAATTATATAAAAAAATTATGAAATTAAATTATTTGATAAAGTAGTTGTTTAATTGACTGATTTATTGTAAATAATATAAAAATATATATAATATTGATATAATGTTAAAATTAGATATAATTTTTTTTAGAATTAGATATAATTTATTTTAATATATTTTATTGATAAAAATAATATTATTAATTTAAATAATAATTTAATTGTATTTTTAAAATTATTAATTTTATAATATTGTATCAATAAAAATTATATGGACAGATTTAAATAATTTTTTATAATTTTTTAATTTTAAAAATATTATTTATCTACTTAATTTATTTTTATTTAACAAAATATACTATTAATGAATTATGATAATAAGATGAGAAAGAAAAAAAATTATTATAAAAACCAAAATAATAATAAAATTAAAGTCTTAAAATTTAATTATGTGAAGAATAAATTGTCTTAAAAATAAAAATAAATTAAAAATATATTAGTAACTAACTTAAAAGTTTTTATAAATACTTTTTGAATATATATATATATATATATATATATATATATATATATTAGTGTTGACTTTTACACTACACATATAAAATTTATTACTAATTTTTAAGAAATATATTATTTATAAAAAATGTAAAAAACATTCAAGTGATGTAAATTTTAAATTAATAAATTATTTTGAACGTATTAAATTTTAAAAATTTGATTTAATATGACTAAAATTAAAAAAAATAACATTTAATTAAAGTTAAATATTAGATACTACAAAGAAAGAAAAAGTGTGAGAAAGAGATTAAGATTTTATAGTATTTTTTTATAAATATTTAAAATATATTTAAAATTTTATTTATAAATATTAAAAAAAATTAAATGATGTAACAGTATGTGACAGTGATGTTATAGTGATAAATTAGCTCCCTGTGAACTTAATAAATAAATAATTGATAATAAAGAATAAATCATAATTTTTTAATATTTTAGACTAAATTTTAACTAAACAAAATTATAATATTTTATCACAAAATATGTGACATTTATAAAGATATAAAAATATAATATACCTTCAAATATTTTAAAAATTATCAAAAAAAAAGTTGATAATAAAAACTAAATTTTAATATCTTAATATTTTAGAAATTAAATCTTAATAAAAAAAACTTTGTAAGAACTTATTACATTGAGGTTATCAATGACATTATTTACATGATTTAGTTGAATTTTCAACTCTTATATTCAAATTAAACTACTCTAAATAAAACCACAAAGATACCAAATTCATATTAATATCTATTTCATTATTATTTAATTATTATTAGACATTGTTGTAAAATATATTTATGTATGTTAAATTAAGTTTTTTTATTTGTAATTTAGACTAAGTTATAATTTAAAATTATTTTTAATATGTTTAATATTTTTTTTCATATTTACTAAATATTTAGTTTTTTATTTAATAATTAAGCAATTTATATATCAATATATAAAATATATACTATAACAAAGCAAAGAATTGATGTCATTTTCAATGTTTCCTTGTTAGACTTGCTAAATATACAAAATTGTAATTTCATATGGCAATTTGGATGCATAAGAATAATATTTCGCAAAGGCGAGGAAGCATTGAAAAGAGTATTTATAGTAAAACCTTTTAAGAATAATAAAGATGTAAAAAAAAATAATGATCAACCTTGAATTTAAATTTATACTACTCAACTATAAAATAACTTTATTTTTATAATAATATGCACCGCTAAACAAACAAAAAGTAAAGAACATAAATGGAAAAAAGAAAATATATCAAAGGTGTGTAATCAATCAAAATATAAATATAAAAAAAGCATAATAATGAAAAAGTACATAACAAAGGTCATACTTGAATATTGTTGGTTAACATTTATTAATGTTTGTTTTTGTCAAACAATAAAAAAATGCATTACAAAAGTGTGTAAGCAATCAAAATAATAATAATAAAAATCTTTGTTCTAAAAATATTGAATAAAACAAAAGCAAAGTAATGAATAATGAAAAGAAAGAAGAAAGGTGAACCAAAATGAAGATGATACTTAAGTTTGTTCTTCATCAAAGAATGGAAAAATGCATAACATTATGTTAACAATCAAAATATATAAAAAAATAAAAAAATAAAAATAACAATGCTATGTAAATGGTATAAAAGAAAAAGGAAGTAATGAATAATGAAAGAGGTAAAAGAAGCTAAAACCAAACATGAAAGTGTAAGAAAAGAAAATGAAAATAATACTTGAACTTGTTTGTTAAGTTTTATTTCTATTCAAATGCTACGTTTATGGTCGTAAGATTACATAACAATGAAACTGGAAAGTACACAAAACTGGTAAAAAAAAAAAGTTGAAAGAACTTATTGTTAGGTGATACAATTACCCAATTCTGAAATTCACTAAAATTAGTTCCAATACAATGTATCAATATAATTTTAATGATCTTGTCATATAGTAATTATTATTCTTCTATAATTTGAAATTTAAAATTTAAAATTTTGAATAAAATAAAATTTATGAGAATAGAAAAAGTAAAAAAGAGTGCACGAGAAAATCTATTTATGAAATCCAAATTTTTCATATAAGCCCTACCACAATAAATCATTCCACCACACACATTACCGAACATTCATTGCATCATGCTCAATTAAGAATCTTCTATCAAACACGCCTATTCTTACATTTTATCTCATCCACATTGCAACTCATAGCAAACAAACATACTCAAAACAAAGTGAGATAGGGTAGAGTCCCCCTTACCTCAAATTGAAGACTCACAATACCAATCAACCAAGAATGTGTTTCCCCACATGAATTTCATCTTGAACACATAGAAAACTCCATGAGAAACTGAAAGAACATGAAAGAGAAACGAAAATTGAAACCCTAACTCTTAGAACTTACGTCCAAGCATCCCAAACACGATTCCAACCTTCAATCTTACTCCTAAATGGCTTTGGAGGCAGTTTAATTGGCAAAATAGGATTAAAGGTCGAGAGAATCGAAGATATTTTAAAGAGAGGAATGGAAAATGAATTTTTCAAACCCTAGACCACTCAAATACCCTTTTGGTCGCGATTTTCTCGCTATAGAGAGATATTGAACCTTACTGCAGCGACACTCCTTCTCGCTACAGCGAAAATATCAGAGGGAAATGCATTCTAATTTTTGCAGAATCTCGCTACAGTGAGACCCTCTTGCTACAGCGAGACTGCACGCAAAAAATACCCTCTCTGTCTATCCCTCTCGTTGCAGCCAAAGGGCTCCCACTACAATGAGAATGCCTTTGCGGTTCACACTTAGCTTATTTTCCATCCAGTCTAACCTAACCACAAGGCAAATGTTTTCATCCATATTTACATGTCCCTCCATATACACGGTCATACACATATATAAGCATATATTCACATTATTATCACATAAATCAAAACGCACATTCGAATAGCAATCCACATGTTCATATTAATAATCAAAATATTATTACAAAATTCGAAGCGTTACAAATACTCTACAGATTGTGAGTAAATTTTGTGAGTGCCCATTGGGTACTTTACATATTCAATTGGAGGAGAGGATAAGTGTAACGCCCTAAATTTTGGTAATATTAATTATTATTATTATTATTATTATATATGTATATATATTTATATGTGTGTTGATTTATTTGATAATGATGTTTATGTGTATTAATTACATGGATGTGTGTATTTATGTGTATGCATGACTGGATAGGGCTGAGATGGACTAAGTACCTAAGTGCAGGGGGTGATACTGAGTTGTTCTCGCTATAGCGAGAGGATTCTCGCTGTAGCCAGAGGGCCCTGGGAGGAAGGACCAGAACTGTCGCCTTCTCGCTGTAGCGAGAGACGTCTCGCTGTAGCGACAGTTTTTGGTGCATTTCTGGGTGCAGTCTCGCGGTAGCGAGGGTATCTTAATGTAGCAAAATTCTGTAGAAATCAGGGTGCAGTTTCGTTTGATATTTTCGCTGCAGTGTGAGGGCGTGTCGCTGCAGCGAGGTCCCCTCGCTGGAGCGAAAGTGTCGCGACCAGAAAAGAATTTAAAGGGGGTTTAGGGTTTGAGAAGTTATTTCTCAAAAATCCCTTCGAATCCCTCGACCCAGAACCCTTTTCCACTGATTAAATTGCCTCCAAAGTCGTTCGAGAGCTTAATTGAAGGTTGAATCCGTGTGGAGAACGCTTGGAGGTGAGTTTTAATGGTTAGGGTTCCCTTTCTCATCCCCTTTTCTCTGTTTCTCGATTTCTTGGAGTTCTCATGGAGTTTTTCCATGTATTTTAGGCCGAAATCTGTGTAGAGAACATATCCGTGGTCAAATCTGAGTGTGGGACGTCAATCCAAGGTAAGGGGTAGACTCTACCCTATCTCAATGTATTGTAATTCTTGTGTGTTTGATGAAAATTGATATGTAATGTGATGTGTGATAGAATAATTGGACCCCGTGAGGGTGATTGTGTGTGATGGAATGTCATTGATTGGTGAATTAATGATATTGTGAATAAATATGGGCTATGTGCCGTGTAATGTGAAATGAATGTGGGACTAGTGCCGTGTATTTGAGTGCCACGTGGGCTGTGTGTTGTGTGTAAGCATGACTATTGCATGCGTGAATGAAATATGTGTAAATAGGCGTGTTAGCGCC